TAGATTGTTAAACATTCTTATAAATAAAAAAATATGCCCATTTCAGGCAGTGCTGTGTGCATGTATTTGACATTTGTACTTTGTAGGACATGACCTGCCCTTACTGCTTTGGAAGAAGAAATGAGTGGTACTGTTACAACTTTACTTTGCATATTTTAAAAAGATCGACCAGTTTATAGCTTCCCTTACTCTTTTATTGTAGTTATTAACTGATGTATTCCCATACCAAATGTGTTCTCTTTATGATTCCTTAAACTTCAAAAAAAATTGGATATACCTTGAGGGGAATTGGACTGTTTCTAGTTTGCATTGCACTTGAGTAATGCTTTGAGTTGAATATTTTTAGGGTTCTAAAATTAAGTTAATCCATATGTAATTATGAACGTTTTTAACCAGACAGTCCTGGTTAGCAGGAGATTGGCAGGTTATTCTGAAAAACTATTTAGCAAACCATGAATAGCAATTAAATGAGAAAAGACTAAATTTCTCTTTAAAATGGGTTGTTGCCATAATTTAATGTGGTGATATGATTTTCTATTTTTAATTGCTGTAGACAGTGCGTTTTGTAAAGTAGATTTTGTCATCTGCAAGCTAGATAGTTCCATAATTTTGTACCACTTACACTTTTTAATACTCAGTAAGTATTCTGCCTTTGCAGTCCCTTTTGATTCATGATGGGTAAAAGAAACAGGTTGGTAAAGGTCGTTTTTGTACCTCTTTAACAAATTGAGACCAAATGCATATCTTGGAGAAATGAAGTACTTCTTTTCATGAGACTTTATGACCTTATGTAATTTAGTATGCTTACTTTATAACATAGTGCTTTTATTCACAGAACAATTATACTTAATGTTGACATTTAAGATTTTTTTTTTTTAATTTGAATAATGAGAACTTTGCTCCATAACCCATGTCAATATGAGGATTCAGGGACGGTTTAAACCTGATGAATAAATACATCGTTCTTCCTTCCCACCCCCCGATACCAAGTACTAATGCTCTCCACAGTCCCTTACTCATTTCTTACTTGCAGAAGTCATTTTAGAAGGAATTTATGACAGTGCCATCTTTTAGTAAGTAACAATAAGTCACAGTCTACTGCCTATAATAACTAGATGTTCAGCTGCTTAAAATCACCTTTATCACTTAAAATGTGTTTTCTTTTGTCTCTAAATTAGCATAAAAATACAGAGGAGGCTATTTCTTCAATTAAATGTGAAAGATTAATCACTAGGCAATTTGTTTCACAATAGAAAATAATTAAATGTCAAAAATGGAATATTTACTTTTTACACTTTAAATGCCTGTGAAAAAAGGGGGAAGCACAAAAATTTGGTGCTATTTGCATATATTTTGACTGAGTTGCTACTAAGGTTTGCACCTAACCAAAATCTAGTAACTGACACCGGGATGACCTAATGCATTCATTCCTACTATAGTTCCTCATGCTGTTTTAGAAGATGCCATATTTTGTCCGTAACCAGAGTAGAATCTGGAGGGGGAGGAATGGCAGCAGTGGGTCGCAGATGCAGTGTTCCCGGTGTTCTGGGGATATGAATATTGCTTTTTTTTTTTTTTTGGAAAGCTAACCAGGATTTCCAAAGTACCATCACAGTGAACCAAGTGAAGATAAAAGTGATGTTACTTTTCTATTTCTCCCTTGCTCTTCTTTTTGCTGCGCTGCATGACTGATTCCAACACCACCAGATCAGAATGAACAATTAACTGTCTAATTATTCTAGCCACAGCAGCCCACAATGAAATCTTTATTCCGTGTTTACAGCAATCTTTGGCAGAGGCTGTCTTGCTGTTTCTAAACTAAGAAGAACTGCCCTTTGGCTCCTCTGGGCATCAGCTGCCTTGGTTTCAGCCTCGGATGCCAATAATCAGACTTCTTTTTCTTCCAAAGTGGACTTTTTTTTTTTTTTTAGGGTGAAAAGACCTATTCTCATCACCCCCCCATATATTCTGGCTGATTTATGTTCTAGCCCCTGCAGCTCTTCCTTCCGTCTCTCTTTACATTTTTCCTCTCTCCATAGAACACCACCAGGCAAAACCCCATTTTAAGTCCAAAATTGTAAAAAATGCTTAAGCAAACAGTGCTCACTACTATGAGGGAAGTAAAAGTACAACTGCTGGTTTATGGGTAGAGGGAAGTCAAGGAAATCCCTCCTGCTTTTCTAAACTGCTCATTTTCGAGCTCAAAAGGCATTCAGTAACTTCTCCACTAGGGGAAAACATACCCACTTTTCAGTGGCTCCCTTGATTACTTCCAACTATTTACTTAAATTCACCAACAGTTGCATGTCTTGGAGAAGCTTCAGAACTTGGGGAATATTTACAAATATATAAGGGGCTAAGAGAGTACGTCTGAATCTCTTTGAAATGGCAAGAGAAGACTATTCTACTGTACAGGCAGGGATAGAGAAATTACCGCCAATCCTTAGACAAGAGAAAGGCAGTACCTTAATGGAAGGAAGGAGGATAAAGCACCTTGGTTAGCCCTTTTTGGACTGATGGAGTGTCCTTCCTGAATGTGAGAGCAGACGAGAGCCAGTGCTGGGTCCGCTGCCCTGGACTGCTCAACTTTTTTTTTTTTTCTTTCCCAGAAGAACATTTCCCTGCTCTGCGAGGATGATGGCATCTTTTTTTTCCCATTCCAGTCTCCAAACCCTATGTGATGGTTCCCCTAACAACCCTTGGATCTCGTCTCTCAGCCCCCAGCACTTACTCCATTCGCATTGCCTTTCCTGTGAGAACTGGGTCATAAAATTTTACAGGGGAGAAAGGTAGAAGGGGGCGTTTCAGTAGTATAAACACTGATTAAATTCCCGGGCAACTCTCCCCAAATGAAAGATAATTTTTCTACAAGTATGCACAAGAATGTCAAGAATGCTAAGTCATTTTTATGTTTATACTTTCCTTTTCCATTTTAATTTTACACTGCCACATGGCACACATGCTAAAAATGTATCTCCGTAACCTGCAGTGTAGCAAACTTTTAACAAAACATTAAAATCCCGTATTTTAAAGACTGTCCTTTCCCAGGATGCTCCAAGCATTTTTTGGATACGAAATTAGATCATCTCACGACAACTGTCCTATTAGAATAGCATGGCTACTCGTGCATTGGCAAATAGGGAGAATCAGAAGCACTGGAAAGGAAAGGTCACACCAAAGTCAGTGGCGACAGCCTTAAGTAGACTCGGAGAGCTTGGTTTTCCAATTTATACTACTTCCCACTTGCTCCTCATTTGTCTCTTTTTTTGCTCTGGCAGGAAGTGATGACAGTTGACCTCACCTCCTCTACTTGGCTTAGCTCTGACACACTGTTCTCCCGCACTCTTGCCCTGTTTTCTCCATCATCAGCTGGCCAGCTCTCACCAGGGGCCAAGCCAAGAGGAGGCAACCGCAGGTGCCCTTGTGGCTGCCTCCAGTGTTGGGAACCGAAGCCTGCCCCTGCCAGGTCACATGGCCAGTGGGGCTGCGAGGGTCACCCGAAAATAAAAATTAATTTCCAGATTGTATAAATACATGAAAGGAAAACGCTGGGTCACGGATGGGGTTCCCAATTGGCACTGTCTACCCTGCTCCCCAGCCAGATACGGCTGGGCAAGGTGAGCTGATAAAAGTACAGTCTGTAGCATTGGTGCAATCAGAGTATACAGTTGCGACTTCTTGGTTCTGTCGTTTTTAAGTCGCTCGGATTCCTTAGCTGTGTGTCCCTGACACCACCACAGCTCTGAGAGGTAATTTTCTTTGGTGGAAGGACATCAGAGACTAGCAGGGATTGGGGGACATTTTATTTGGGGAGGGGCAGACTCAGTTTCCAGGCGACCTATTAACAGTCCGAAGACAAAATACTTCCTGGCCCTTGTGCCAGTAACAACAGCAGCAATAGTAATAGTAATGACAATGGCAATAATAAAGGCATAGTAAAGCCTGAATCCACCAGGATTCAACCCTCCCCCCAACCCCCAGGTGTTCTGCTGCCAGCCCTCTCTCTCTCTCTCCCTCTCTCTCTCTCTCTCTCTCTCTCTCTGCCAGGTCTCAGCACAAAAAAGGCTCTGGCAATGCCTCCAGGCTGCGCTCCAGGTTCCACCCCCCACCGCCCGCCCCCGAGGTGGATAGCCAGGCCGCGTCTCCTGCTTCAGCGTAAGTCCAGCCCACAGTCTCTCCTGTTGCTAAGGGCGAGCTGGGACTCCGCGTTAGCGTTTCTTTTACAAATCTGCAACTTTCACCCTATCCGACCTCCTAGCAGCCTCGTCACCCCAGCTCTCACCCCACGGCCACCACAACGAGCAAAACCCAAACACCCCGCGCGCAATTCAGAGCTTTCCCTGGGAGTGTCAGGGCCCGGAGCCAGGAAATCCGGGCAGTTGGAGATGTCCGGCAGGTGGCGGGGACCCCACCACTACATTCTCCTCCCACGGCTGAGCTCGAGCGGGGACGCGGCGAGAGGCGCGGACTGCGATCGGCCCCGCAGGCGCCTGAGCCACCCCCAAGCCCTGGTCTCCGGTCCCCCTTCCCGGCGCACATCCCCGAGTTGGGGACGCAGCCAGCCCTCGTCCATCGGCAGCCAGAGGGAGGCGTTGCCGCCCTCGGGGCAAATGAGAGCGAAGCCGGGGCCCAGCGCCGCCGCGAGTCGCGCTCTTGGGTCATCCGTCCCCATGCCCCCGCGCGCGCAGCCCCCGCCACCAGCGCGCAGCGTCCTCCGTCTGCCCCGCTGCGCCCCAGCTCCCTGCCCCGGAAAGCAGCTTCCCAGCTCGGGAAGCCCCTTCACATCCCCTTCCCCCAAAGTCCGAGGAAGTCCAACTCCGACCGGCCCGCAGGCTTGCGCGGCGGCTGGTACCTGCCGGGAGAGCATGGCGCGGAGAGGGACCGAGCGCAGCGCCGGGGGACGGCTGCAGGGAGCGAGCGGGCACCCGGAGCCCTGCGCCGCCCCGCTTCCGGAGCCTGGGGACAAACGCGCGGGGCCCCACCCGAGCACTCCCCTTTACCTGGTACGGCCGGCGACTCTCCGGGGACGTTCGGTCCAGATTGCTTCGGGGCAGGCGTCCAGCTCACATCGGTGCCAACCCCGCCGGGCGGCAGGTGTCCCGCTGGGTCCCTTCGCCCCCGCTTGTGACGTGCCCCCGCCCCCCACCCCCCTACCCCCTCTATCAAAAGTGTCACAGCTTTTCTGCCTTCAGATCTTTCGCAAAGTCTCCGCGCGGTCGCCAGGAGTTGGGCGGCAATGCCAGGCGCGCCAACCCCGCAGATGCCCTGCCCCGCCTTCCCACGGCCCCCCTGCGCTCGGCCCGGCCGGGGAGAAGAGCCGCCTCGTCGCGGTCACCGTCCCCGGAGCGCGGCGCGTGGTCCGCCTCCCCTCCCTCGCGCCTTCCCTAGCCCGAGTGGCTGCCGCCTGCCTGTGCCGCGGGTCCTCATTCCCCTGCTCATGAATATTCTGACAGAGGCTAATGCCGTGGAAGTAAATTGAATTAGCCAATTGGTGCCAGGAATGTGCGCTCTTTCCTTCTGAGGAGCTGTCTGGAACCCCACCAGATGAAAGCAATTAGAGTCCGGTTGGCACCCTGGGGTTTAGAGCAGTGAGGGGCAAAATGGGTTAATTCTTCAAATGCAGTTTAGATACCACATTTAAATGTTTAAACTCCTCTATTGGCTGAGAGAGTAAGGAAATGTTGAGAAGGAGCAAGAGGAAAGGAAGTAGGTAGTCCTGGGGACAGGAGGGATGTATCTACCCCCAAACTCCCCCTGAAGTTGAAGTGACTTGTTCTGCGTAGATTATGGATTCTGGAAGAGGCAGTTAATGAGAACTGGAAAAGATAGGCAAACAGGATCAGAAAGAAGATGAATATCAACCTGGGTTTAACCTTGACCTTGAGGATGCAACAGACATAATTTTCAGGAGGAGGAGTGGGGAGAGATGGCAGAGGGAGAGGAAAACCTCTCATTTACTTTTAAGAATTTCTCCAAATGCTGTCATTTTCTTCCTTTGTCTTCATACCAGTGGGGATTTTAAGCCTTTGGGTGAAGTAGAGATGGGACAGAGTTCTCTGCCTGGCAACAGTTTCAGAGGAGGAAGCTGAGACCATCCTCTGGTGAAGAGAGCCTTCTGAATCACACAGTAACTATGACAAAGTCATTCCAGAAGGCAGTTTCTCTTTACAGTCCAAGCTTTTTGGTTGTGGGGTCAGATAAGGTCGACAGGAGAGACAGCCTCTCCTTTGTCCTGCCTCCTACCCTCCAATGCCAAGTTCTTCCCAAGTTATTGACCACAACTTAGATTTAGTCAGTGGGTAGAGGGGAATCTCTGCCCAGTTCTGCATCCACATCTCTCTCTCTCTTTACAGTCTTAAGGGGCATTGCTTCTAGGATTTCTAACCTCCCCCCACATCACCAATTTTCTAAATACAGAAACTTATTTTGATTGAATTGATTGGTTACTAAATGTTTGACTTGTACTTGTGGCCGAATAATCTATGTATCCACAACTGATAAAAGTATGTGTATAAGTAACTGATACAATTCCCAAATTAATAAATACCCCGGTTAAGGCAGTTGAGCCATATTTGATAGGTTTCAGCGAGGCCTAGAATTGGAACTCACAGTTGTAACAGTAACTATTATTTCAGCAGTCAGTGTTTATTGAGAACTTGTTATGTGACAGACAGATGCATTACAGGAATCATCTCATTTAATCTTTCCAACTACTCTATTGAGGACACACTATTATTTTTCCATTTTAATAGATGAGGAAGGTGTGGCTCAGAAAGGTAAGTAGTATATATAATGAGGGGAGTTGGGGAAGATGAACTTTGATTCAAAGCATCCTAATCAATATGCCAGAGTCTTCAGGTCCCCAAGAGCTTATACTGCCTTCTTCTCTAAAAAAAAAAAAGAAGAAGAAGATAGCGGGAGGGGAAGAATGAAGGAGGGGGAAATTGGAGGGGGAGACGAACCATGAGAGAGGATGGACTCTGAAAAACAAACTGAGGGTTCTAGAGGGGAGGGGGGTGGGAGGATGGGTTAGCCTGGTGGTGGGTATTAAAGAGGGCACGCTCTGCATGGAGCACTGGGTGTTATACACAAACAATGAATCATGGAACACTACATCAAAAACTAATGATATAATGTATGGTGATTAACAAAACAATAAAAAATTAAAAAAAATAAAAAGAGAACCGGTATCTTTGTGTTTTGTTGAAGTGATTTCTCCGTGGTGCTTAATTTCCTACCAAAATTTAGAGAAAAAAAACAAAACAAAACAGGGTTTTTGTTTTGTTTTTGGTGGGGGGGCATGGTGTGCTTAGCTTAGTGTGTTACCGTGTTGGGCCACAGGGTGCCTGAATATTTGGTCAGCGTTATTCTGGGTGTTTCTCTGAGGGTGTTTTGGGTGAGAGTAACATTTAAATTGGTTGACTAAATAAAGCAGATTGCTCTTCCCAAAGTGGGTGGGCCACTGAAGTCCGGAATAGAATAAAAAGGCTGACCCTCTGAATAAGAGAATTCTCCTGCCTGATGGCCTTGGAACTGGCTCTGCAGGTTTTGGATTTGCCAGCCTCCATAATTGCATGAGTCAATTCCTTATTATTTATCTGTCACCTATTGGTTCTGTTTCTCTAGAGAACCTTGACTAAGAGATGGATGCCTTCAGAAAATACTGCTATTTCTGAATTTCCCATGAATGTCTGAATATTTCCATCTACCAACACATGCTGTATAATATACAAAAATACACATTTTTTTACTTAAGATTTTCTAGACCCATTATTAATAAGGGAGGAACAATTGTATATATACGTATTTATATGGATGAGACTTCATCAGATTTAAATAAAATATAATCTTTGAAGAACTCAACAATGGACTATGATAGGTTTGCTTAAAGCAAGGTTTATAGATACACGAGGGGAGAAATTTTAATATTACAGTGTTAGGAGTAAAAATGATCAGGCTAAATCTCTCAATTCAACAGTTGTTGAGTACCTATTAAATGCAAGGCACATTTCTATTCAGACATTTTCTATTGAAGTTCACAGTCAAATCACTTAAAACAGTTGAGTGTCTGCCATATTTTATTCTCTGAAACTTTGGGTAGTTTAAAATCCTTTGTAAAAAAAAGTATATACTGTTTTATCCCTGTATTAAATATTTAAGATTTTCCCCATCATGATTCTTCCCTTACAATGCTCTGTTGGATCTTTCTTTTATAGAGTATCCTCTTAGGATTTAGAGGCAATATATCACAGAAAAGTCTTCAGATGTTGGAATGTTTATTTATATGAATATGTTAACATGATTTTAGGGCCCATCAAATGTTACCAGGATGAGTGCTTTCCATATGTCCCCCACAGTTCAGTGGGCAGTGTTGGGGGAGGACTTCGAGAGTCTGAGGTAGGACAGTGGTTTGGGAGTGTGCGGCAGTCTTGGGCAAGCCATTCACCTTTTGAGCCAGCCAAGTTAGCACCTCTGCAAAGTGGAAATAATAATACTGTATTTATTGGGTATTTGCTATTTACAGATTGCTCTCCCATATGCTGTCTCATTCTATCCTCCAAGTAATTCCATCCTCCTTGTAAATTCAGCATTGTTTCCATATTTAATTGACGAGGAATATCAAGCTCACAGAGATTCAGTAGCACTCTGAGCTTCTCCTAGAAACAGATAGAATGGGAACTTTGATCCAGTGACAAAGTCACCTTCTCAGTAAAGCCAACTTTTACATCTCTCTCTGTCCAGCCTCCCTACCCCCTCCACACACACTTCTTTTTCCAGCAGAAATACAATCCTCTTCTTTGTGTTCCCCTAGGACGTCTAAGATGCACAAAGAAATAATTAGAACACAATGTGTTGTCTCTACCACTAACCAAGAGCAACCTGAAATCAGGAACCTTGTCTTAATCACTTTTGTATCCCCAAATTTAGCTTAGTGGGAGGCACTCAGGAAGCCTACCAACACCAATCGTGCACACTTCAGAAAATGTGTCCCGTTGACTTTCCTGGGCTATTAGGATTAAATGAAATAGTTAACAGGGGCTTTGGAAATTTAAAAATACCATGTAATGATACTATTATTATTGGTCAAAAGTAGATTCAGAAATAAATATAGTAACTTTAGCCTTGACCTCTGGCTGATAAATTCTATGGGTGAGAAAGCAGGTTGATCATTTTTATGTCAGCTACTGTTATTTAGGACACGGATGGATAACACTTGCTCAAATTATAATCATCTGGTTTAGTAGTACTAAACTGGCCCATTAAGCAAGGAGGTATTAGTCTGGGAAAGGTGAGTGAATGTGGTGTGTGTGTGTGTGTGTTTAATCTTTCTGCATTTTAAGGGTGTTTTCTGTGAATGAGCAGCTTCAGCGGAGAGCATGGTTGTATTTCTCTAAGGAAGGGATCTGCTTTTTTCCTATGGGATGATCTTTATTAAGAGCTCCCAAGGTCACCAAGCTAACGACAGAGCTGGGGTTCTTGACCCTCGTTCAATGTTATTTTTGCTACCCCACCCTGACCCTGATTGGCAGCCACTGCCCATCCAGTGTGGTTTATGGTTTTACAATTGAGATGAGTGGTAAGCAGCTCAATACCTCCTTATAATTAGTCTCCTGAGTCAGCTAATACTCTTCCAATGCAATTCCATGATCTAGATTATCAGTATTATCCATTCAAGATATTTTTTGGATTTGTAATGGTAATTACTTAGTAGAACTGATGACAGTGACACATTAAAAACACTTTTGCGGCTTCATAGCCTGTCTTACCTTAAATATTCATTACAGAACAGTTGTTAAAATAAAAACACGCACACATATTCACAAAACCAGCAATTCCTGTTCATCTACAGGTTCGTTCTTCTCTGGAGCATTGATGTACGAGTCAGATGATTCTCTGTACTGATTTTACTAAGGCCATTTGCAGTTCTGTGTTACTTTACTTTTGTTTTGGTGTAACATGTGCATTTATCTGTCCTCTGAATTTGTAGGTTAATCAATCAGTGATTTTCTGTCATTCTCAGAAGAAATTGGTTCCCTCACAGTTGATGCCTGTCAGTTCCTGTCTGTTTCACTGTGTTTGTGATTCTGGTGGGAGGTAAACGCACCCCACCACCATCACCTCCAAGGAGAACTAGCTGTAG